CTAAAAGTCGGAGGCTGATACTTCTTGAACCTCTCAAGCCTCTTCTGCTCCACCTCTGAAGCTACTGCCCTCTCCTTGGGCTGAGCTGGGGCTACCGGCTGTACAGGAATAGCCTCTGGAACCTGATCAATATGCACTTGCTGCTCAGGAGTGCGGGCGGCAGGAGTCTGTGCTCCTCCCCCGGCCTGGGATGTAGCTGCAGCAAGGGGAAACAACCCTACCTGAGCTAGAGTGGTGTACATAGTCATAAACTGTGCCAAAGTCTCCTGGAGTGCTGGAGTAGTAGTAGCAGACGCATCGGGTGTCTGGACTCCGGCTGGTACTGCTGGTGGTACCTCGGCGGCAGCTCGCGCGGGTGCTCTGGCTGCACCACGAGCGCGTCCTCGGCCTCGGCCTCTGACGGCACCAGTAGGGGCGCGGGTGCCTGGTCATCTCGAGTAGCACGTGTCCTCACCATCTGTGAGAGAGTAGAAGACAGAAGTTTAGAATTGTGATATCAAAAATCTCGCACGACAAGGAAATCAAACGAAGCAGAATTTTCCTAACAGTTACATAGCCTCTCGTAGATAAGTACAGACGTCTCCGTACCGACCAGCGAGACTCTAATAAACCGACTTGTGATCCATGACTCCTGTGAACCTAGAGCTCTGATACCAACTTGTCACGACCCCGGTTCGCCCTCCGTGAACCATCGTGAAGGCACCTAGTCTCTACGACTAGGTAAGCCTAAAATGCGGAAAATAAACCAAATTTGCGGAAGAAAAACAAGTTAAAATAGAGATAGAGTAAATAAACAACGTTTCAGAGTGCCGCCCGGCATACACAACGTTAATCTCTCAAAACTAATACATGTTCTCCAAACCCGGAAACCCATGAATCACAAGCTACGAATATAGTAAAATGCTCTAACACTAAAAAGTCTACATCAACAGTAATGATAGAAGGACTAATCACTATAAGAGAGAATGGAGAGAGACTCCTCGGTCTGCGGACACGGAAGATATACCTCGAAGTCTCCGTAGAATCGCCTCGCCTCAAGGATGGTAAGTCTGAGTAGAGGTACCTGGATCTGCACATGAAAAACATGCGCAAAAAGGGCATGAGTACACCACAGCGGTACTCAGTAAGTGCCAAGCCTAACCTCGGTCGAGTAGTGACGAGGAAGGTCAGGGCCCTACTGAGATTAAATAATAATATAAAGTTCGACAGTGTAGGTAAGAGCAGTATAAATAAGTGCAATAGTAAAAATATCACAGGATATAAGACAACTACAACTGATACAGAGGCAAACAATCACAAGGATAATAATCGGGGATCTCTCAGTATCCCGATGATCTCTTAGTATCCTCAATATATATATCCGGGGATCTCTTGGTATCCCGAGGATCTCATGGTATTCTCAATATATGCTAGGGATCTCTTGGTATTCCGAGGATCTCTTGGTACCCTCAATATATATCAGGGATCTTTTGGTATCCCGAGGATCTCTTAGTATCCTCAATATATGTGCCAGGGATCTCTTGGTATCCCGCACCTCGGCTCGATCATAAATACGTATAGGGGGTCTCCCGGGAAGCCTTCACGTAGCCCCAAAATAAACGCACAACAATAGCAAAAAACGAATTTCTCAATTAAGTTCAACTTCATACCATGGAAAAAATAGATAATTCTAACCTAACATGCTTCACGTAACATAAATAAGGCAGTTAAGGTAAATAGAGCAATTTAGTCAATTAGACATGCTTCTCTAGACTAACAGCAGGCTAAATTTCCAAATAGTGTAAGCAAGGAAGGGAGGGACACAATTTAAGGCTATTTTTAATGAAAAACCGGATTTCCAACAATTAGCACAAGTACGCACTCGTCACCTTACGTACAAGGCATTTCAATTATCACAATATCAATCCTAAGGGGAAATGTCCCCCACACAAGGCTAGACAAGCCACTTACCTCGAACCGGCTCAATTTTCAACCCGAAACCACGTTCTTGCCACGAGTATTCGACTCCAAATGGTCCAAATCTAGTCAATTAAATTTCATAATATAAATAACACTTCAAGTAACTGATTCTACAATTAAATTCTAAGTTAATACGCGAAATTAGGTAAAATGACCAAAACGCCCCTCGGGCCACACCTCGAAACCGGGTGAAATTTATATTTCCAGAATCCTTACACCCTCGCGAGTTCATACATACCAAGAATACTGAAATCAGAGTCCAAATGACCCCTCAAATTCTTATTTCAAAGTCTCTTAATCTCAAGCCCTACTTCTTAAATTTTTGACCTAGATTCCATGATTTACTAGATAGATTTCACATTAGAAACGAGTTTTAGGACCAAGAATCTTACCTCCAAGTGATTCCCCTCGAATCCCTCTTCAATCCCCTTCAAGAGCTCCAAAAACGATTAAAAATGGTGGAAATAAACCCCAAAATCGCGGACAAGACGACCTTTTAAAACATTCTGCCCAGCTGTTTCCGTATCTGCGGCCCTTGGACCGCTTCTGTCGGTCCTGCATTTGCGGAAAAATGGTCGCATCTGCGACTTCTCACTTAAGGCCCAGACTCCGCATCTGCGACTCCCCTTCCGCAGATGCGGCATCGCTTCTACGTAAATTCCGCCGCTTCTGCGGTTCCTGCTGAACTTCCCCATTCCCGCTTCTGCGGCCACTGAGACGCTTCTGCAGCGCCGCACCTGCGGAACCCAAACCGCAGGTGCGGTTATCACAGATACCAGCATCTTCAGCTGCTTCACACCATTCCAAAACCTCCCGTCAACCATCCGAAATCATCCCGAGGCCCCCGGGACCTCAACCAAAGGCACCAACAAGTCTAATACCACTGTCCAAACTTGTACCAATCCTTAAAACACCTAAAACAACATCGAAACCTCAAATTAACCATGGATTTAAGCCTAAGAACTCCAAATTTTTAAAAATACGCTTTCGATCAAAAAGTCTATCGAACCTCGTCCGAATGACCTGAAATTTTACACACACGTCACATTCAACACTACGGAGCTACTCCAACTTCCGGAATTCCATTCCGACCCTCGGATCAAATCTCACTATCGAACCAAAAACTTCAAAATTCTATCTTTCGGCATTTCAAGCCTAAATTAGCTACGGACCTCCAAAACCCAATCCGATCGTGTCCCTAAGCCCGAAATCACCCGACGGAGCTAACGGAACCATCAAAATCCCATTCCGAGGCCGTCTTCACACTGTTCCGACTACGGTCAAATTTCCAAAACTTAAGCTCTCATTTAGGGACTAACTGTCTCAAAACTCTCCGAAACTCAAAATCGAACATCCCGGCAATTCAAAATAGCAGAAATAAACACGAGGAAAGCAGTTAATAGGGGATTGGGGCATAAATTCTGAAAACGACCGGCCGGGTCGTTACACATTTATAGCAATAAATGCATCGGTTATGAGAATCCAAAATAGAGGGCAATCAATATCATTAATGCCCATAATTAGCTCAAATTATGGGGGAAAACGGTTACTATTGTACATTCCTATATACGGGCACAGAATATTATTTGTAAAGACACATCGGAGGCAATATTGAAGTATACACTCTACTTTTCTGCTTTCTCGAAATTCTCTACCTTGACTTTGCAATCAATTATTTCCTTAGTTATTCTTGTTATTTTCTTTTGATACCATTTTAGAAAGTGAAGCTAAACTTGGTTATCAGTAACCCGTTTTCTTCTAAAATTAGACTTTGACCGAAAGATATATTTTTGGTTAAACACTTGTTTTAGATCCACCCATATCCGACCCGACCAGCCCGTTTGCCACCTCCAGTCGCACCTAAGCTCTCTCTTTTTTGCATTACCCTCTTTTTAATTTGCTCTTTCTGTTCCATCCATCTATATACAGCCTCAAAAGTTCAAAAATTACAAGAAAATGTTAAGTTCAGAATAGATAGGAATCTCTATCCTTTATTGCTATATGAAGATATAAGGAGTGCTCTAGTCTCGTACGATTATCGAAAGTTTCAATGTATTAGCACTGTACCCTTTTAAAAGAAAACTCACTTTTAACCTTTCTGGGTAGAACAAATCTATACTGTAATTAGTATTGCCTAACCTAATCTAGAGGACCTAAAGCAAACTTTATTAGGTTGGGCAGGATGACCTTTTATTAATCCCATTGATTAGCTGGTTAGAAGAAAAAACCTAAGTATTAGACGACAATATCTTTTCACTTTAAGATCACCACGTAGCATCATACTTGCAATTATTATTTACTAATTAAAGTAAAAAGTCCCACTAGTACATGATATTTTATTGAAAAGTTACAAGAAAACATAATTACTGGTTAATTCCAAGTCATAAGCATTGTCTCCTTGAGAAGAAAGCGAGATTAAAAGATCCATTTTTTAATTTATGTTATTTGGCAAATCTATAAGAATTATGATAAAGGTATTTTTATGTTTTGTGTTCAGTATTAGGTAAGATAAATAACAATAATTTTCATAAAGGTATTTCATCATAACTCCTCATAAATCACAATAAGATATTTGTAAATTTTTATGAGATAAGATTCTTCATTTTTTGTGGTCAAAAGATTTTTCATTTTTTGAGATAGCTATCATTTCAGGATTTTTTTAACTTTTATTTTATAATTTAATAATAATCTAAACAAATTATAATTCTTCTGTAATATTTCTAAAATTGTGTATTTATTGATATGGATACACGAGCAAAGCGCGTACCTTAAAATTAGTTAGTTAAAAACTGGTAATAAATAGTTGAGTAGTGAAGAAATTAAGAATGAGCTTAAGATTTCATTTTGCGGGAAAATAAAGTCTGCGAGTGTCTATCACGCTCTACTGTTAAAAGTGGTTTTGATTTTTGGAAGTAAAAAAGTATTTCCAAAAGAGAATGACAGTAAGTAAGCCCCTCTACTTTCGGAAGTCCATTTCAATTTGTTTGAATATTTTCTACTCCATTAAGGTTCAATTCACTTTTTTTCAGTATGAATTCCGATATATTTTCTTTAAGTTTTTATGAGATAGTTAATAATTTAAAAGATTTAAAAATTATTTGCAAATTCGTTAATGTTGCTTCTTCCATATAGTATAATTCTCATCTCCTATTCCCCTTTCACTCTCTCTCTCTCTCGATCGTTATAGATGCACATACATACACAAGGAATGCGTTTTTGGTAGTGTGTGTATGACTACATTCCTTTCTCTTCATACACTCCTTTTCCCCTCCTACCCCCAAAATCCAGCTGCCATTTTTCTCTCTCGTGCTTTTTGTGGTGCTCATTTGGACGTAGTTTAGTGGGAATTCGAGATATGTTTGATCTTAATCTCAGTTCTGAAGATGTTCCAGTAGAATCAGGAACCTCCAATTCCTCCATTGTTAACATGGAAACCTCCAACAGTACAGCCGGTGACGATGAATATGAAGAGAATGGGAATGGTGATTTTGTGTTAAAAGAGCTGTTTCCATTGGTGAGTGGAGAGGCTGAGTTGTCGCAGCAGCAGTCGTTGAATCTCTCGGCCAATTACAGAGCTTCGAATGAGCAGAGGATCGTTATATCTCCGCAGCGAAGATCACAGGTGAAGAAGAGTAGAAGAGGGCCCAGGTCTCGGAGTTCTCAATATCGTGGTGTCACATTCTATCGTAGGACTGGGCGATGGGAATCCCACATCTGGTTTGTGATCATATCTTGTATTTTCTTCTCTCAGCTCTGTAGCGACTCTTTAGTTCAATTTCATTCGTAGTAGTGTTTTTGGAGATTTATGCGAATGTTAATATCAATCAACTACGCCCTCTAAAATTTCGTTAGGTGGATTCACTATTTAATTACTTTTATACTAGTAGTTTAAATTCTGCATATATATATATATATATATATATATATATATATATATATATAAAAGGTAATTATAGGTAATTCTGTTTAATAGTTTGATTGACAACCTAGAATAAATGGTAAGTAATATGCTATAACATGTTAAATTATGTTGATGGTGTAAAGTATTAATTACATTGATGGTCGTCAACCTACTGGAATCCTCCTCACTTATCCGTGCTTGGGATCCCATAGAACTAGTATTCGTTTAGTATGCTAGCTGCACTAGAATTAGCGTTCCTTCCATCGTCCTCTAACATTGTGAACTTATGCTAACACGTAAGCGAGGTTGCTTGGAAATATTATTGAACTGTTTAAAATAGCAGTTGTTTCTTGGGATTATTAGTTCTAACTAACTAGCAGCTAGTACTAATGAGATGTTTTCACTTTTAAGTTTGGATAGCAACTCATGAATGATTTATTGTGACTCTGAGCAATTTTTGTGTGGACTTCGCAGGGATGGTGGGAAACAAGTTTACTTGGGTAAGCAACTGTTTCGTAACCTCAAGTTTTGTTGATATGAAAGTTATTACCGCTTTATTCAAGTATTGATTGCTGACTGCAAACTTCATTTGGCATTTGAAATTTGTATTTACAGGGGGTTTTGACACTGCACATACTGCTGCTAGGTGCTGTATAATTTTGAATGAGTTTTACCTCTCCACTGGTTGATATTTGTACTTCTCTGAAAGAAAAAGCTAGGATAGTTGTAGTAGTAAATTTTCGTATACCAATTTCAGGGCATATGACCGTGCTGCAATTAAATTCCGAGGACTTGATGCAGATATCAACTTTAACATCAGTGATTACGGAGATGATCTGAAGCAGGTTGGTTGAAGTAGCTAATCACCATCATTACTTATGGTTGAAGTCCTTTTTCAATTAGGACTATGGCTGCTGTTTAACATAATTTCTGTGACGGGCATGTAGATGAATAACTTTAGCAATGAAGAGTTTGTGCACATACTTCGTTGTCAGAGCAATGGCTTCTCTAGAGGAAGTTCAAAATACAGGGGAGTCACTCTGCATAAATGTGGGCAATGGGAAGCACGGATGGGGCAGCTTCTTGGAAAGAAGTGAGTGACCACTTGTTCCGATGTGGCTTAGAAATGTCACGCTACTATTAATACGGCTGTTTCAAGTTTCCCCAATCACATGATAGTACTGATCTTTATAAGCTAGAGGGAATATTGTTAACCAGTTCCTGTACGTTATGTGCTCGCAGGTATATCTATCTTGGACTATTTGACTGTGAGATAGAAGCTGCAAGGTCCAATGACATAACCTGATTCTTCATTCCCTTTCATGCTGTGGTTTAACCTCTTGACATTGACTGAACTTGGTCTTTGGCGCTTGATCAGGGCATATGATAAGGCTGCTATAAAAAGCAGCGGGAAGGAGGCAGTCACCAATTTTGAGCTAAGCACATACGAAGGTGTATTAACTTCTGAGGCTCATATCAGAGGTACTATCAAGACTTGCACACTTTTCCAGACACCACCTTTATGCTTGTCGCTTTTATTCTGTAGCTCTGCTTAGTTGGTTGAAAACTACTAATCTTTACATTGATGCAGGAACAACTCGTAATCTTGATCTGAATTTGGGCATATCTCCCTCTTCCTATGCTGACAATCAACATGGAAATACTAGCCAAATTGGAAACTTCCAGGGCCAGCATGGCTCAAATGGTTTACCTGAACATCGTAGACAAGACCAAAATACTAATGGTGGGAGTCCTACAGTGCCACTCTTCTCTACCGCAGCATCATCAGGATTCGAAAATTCAGCAATCACTGCACCCTCAGCTGCCATTCATCAACTGCACTTTGGAAGTGGAGCTTTACCTTACCACCACTAACAATCCCTGACCAGCATGAATCTTTCACATAATTATTGCACGAGCTGAAATTAGCTGGCCGGTAAATGCAGAACAAGTAAACAACCACCCAATATCTTTTCTTCCTTTGCTGAAGATGATACCAGTAAGGCAACACGTTGGTCTACAACTAATTGAGTTTAGTTTTGTTAGTTAGGATATGAGGTACTGAGTTTCTAAACAAGGCTATGAATCTTATAACATGAACTATGTGATTGCAAGCTGCTTATTGGGCAATTTTCTTCTACACTGCGTATTACCGGTGCCTTGACAATTGGGATTGTTAAGATGAGAATGTTTCTATATGGTTTTCATTTTCAAATGATTTCTTTCTTTTAATGGCTTCACATTCTGTTATTAAACCTTCTAAAGGAGGCTTCCTTGCTCAAAGTTGGTTCTTGAAATTAGCAAGAACGGACTGACAAATTTTGGTCTCTTTTCATTGCTGAAGCGTACTGGGTCTACAGGAAAGATCACAGTGCAAAAGTCGAGACATAACAAAAGAAGTAAACTTAGAAGTGTTGTTGGTGAAAGTTTGTCCTGTTGCTTTAAAGGGTAGTGGAAGTACTATCATCTGAATCCTCAGCTTTTGATTTTAGAATAAAAAGTAACATGATTTTTTCCCTTATTTGTAAGTGTTAGCAAGTAGGGACGTAGTGTGGGCAGAAAATGGCAAGCTAGCTACCCTTTCTCCTCAATTATTAGAAAGTGACTCTATGCCGTTTTTTCCTGGACTGTATGTCAATTACCTCGACGCCTTTACATCAAATAATTCAAGAACTATTTTTCCGCTTATAAAAACTGACTTGCTCAAAGTCTGCGCCCGAAAATTATACTGCATATGCAGATAATATCTGTATTAAAATTTTTGATTTCAGCACTGGTCACATCGATTGTTATGATCCTTGATTGCCAGTTGGTTCTTTCCTTTCCTTCTGCATCAAAGTCTAGAGAAGAAGTCCCCACCCTTTTGATACTTTGATTAGAGGCAGAGTTAAAGGCTGTTTATGGTAAAAATCTTGATGGTCTTATCAATAATTTAGTGTATTAATCACCTATCAACCAAACATTCAACTACAAATGTAATATGTATGCACGTATGACAAAACAACTAGAATGTGTTAAGTAAATAAATATATATATAAATATGTTTTGCTTAAAGAAAATTACTCCAAATAGGATTAATAAATACAAAACGCATTTAAGATAGAAGTCTGTCAAAAGACTGCCATGACACTGTTTCCTTAAACACTAATACTAGGCTAGGGAGGCAAAAAGTACAAATTGTCAGCTCATGTATTAGGGGTGTTTATGGTTCCGTTTGGGTCGGTTTTTTCCTAAAGAGAAACCAAACCAAGTAAGCCGTTTTTTAAATATTGGAACCAAACCAAACCAATTAAGTCGTTTTTTTATCGATTCGGTTTTTGTCGGTTTTTCTGTTTTTCGGTTATTTATCGTTTTTTTTAAAACATGAGACATACACTGCCAAACACATATTCCGACGATTACATTTTCAACGTAACACTATCAAATCAATTACTCTCTGAGAAATCTATCATTTATCAATATATATTGATGATAACTTGTCACGACCCCAGTTCGCCCTCCGTGAACTATCGTGACGGCACCTAGTCTCTACGACTAGGTAAGCCTAACAAATTGCGAAAAACGAAACAACAGAATAATTCAAATAAAACTTGCGGAATAATCATAATGAAGGTTTAAAGATGTCGCTAGGCATATACAATACAACTCTCAAACTGGAACTACATTTCCCAAAACCCGAAATCTCATGAAATCACAAGCTGTGGAATAACTACAGTGTTCTAACTCCAGAGTGTCTAAACAAAAGTAAATACAGAAGGGCGAATACTATGAGAGAGAATGGAAAGGGACTCCTCGGTCTGCGGACGCGATAGACATACCTCGAAGTCTCTGATGGGTCACCCCGCCTCAAGGATAGTAGGGCTGAGTCGAAGTACCTGGATCCGCACATGAAAAACATGCGCATTAAGGGCATGAGTACACCACAGCGGTACTTAGTAAGTGCCAAGCCTAACCTCGGTCGGGTAGTGACGAGGAAGGTCAGGGCCCTACTGATTATAGCTGAAAAACGAGGTAAAACAGTATAGAATACGACAATATAACTAAATGCTAACAGTAAGAAGCATCACAGGATAATAAGAACAACAACAACTATAACAGAGACAAAATAATTACAAAGGAACACCGCTCAACACAGAGATAACAACCGGGGATCTCTCAGTATCTCGAGGATCTCTTAGTATCCTCAATATGTGTACTGGGGATCTCTCAGTATCCCGATGATCTCTTAGTATCCCCAATATATATATGCTGGTGATCTCTCGGTATCCCAGTGATCTCTTAGTATCCTCAATAAACGTGCTGGGGATCTCTCGGTATCCCGCACTACAGTCCAAATCAGTGTAGGTGCAGGGGATCTCCCGGAAAACAAATTCGTAGCCCCAAAGTAAACAAGCAGGGGATCTTCCGGGATACCGTCCCGTAGTCCTAAAGTAAACACACATCAGCAACACGAAGAACTCAATTCAGTTCAAATTTCATACCAAGGTAAAAATAGGTATTTCTAACCTAGCATGCCACACATAATCCAAATAAGGCAGTTTGAGCAAATAAAACAATTAAGGCAATTAGACATGCTTTCCTAAGCTAACAGTAGGCTTAAATTGCAAATAGTATAAGCAGGAAAGGAAACACAATTAGAGTTACTTAATAAAAATAGGATTTTCAACAATTAGCACAAGTACGCACTTGTCACCTCACGTACAAGGCATTTCAAATATCAACAATACCAAATCCAAAGGGGAGTTCCCTCCCCCCCCCCCACAAGATTAGGCAAGCTACTTACCTCGAACTGGCTCAAAATCAACCCGAAACCACGCTCTTGCCACGAGTACTCGACTCCAAATGACCCAAATCTATTCAAATCAATTGCATAATGTAAATAAAACTTCAAGTAACTGATTCCACTAATTAATTCTAAGCCTATACGCGAAGGAAAAATGACCAAAATGCCCTCGGGCCCACGTCTCGGAATCGGGTAAAATTTACAAATTCAGAATCCTCATACTCTCACGAGTTCATTTATACCAGAATTATTCCAATCCGACATCAATACCTAGATCAAAACCCCAATATTTGGACTAAGAACTTTTCTCCACTTTTCCTTAATTTTTCATCCAAATTCTGAAATTAAATCACAAAACTTAGATTAGATTATAGGAATACAACTAGAAAGGGATTAGGAATTGTTACCCACTGATTTCCTCTTCAAAATCCTCCCAAAATCGCCCTCAACCGAGCTCCAAATCGATTTTTCCAAGTTTTGAACTTAACCCTCGATTCTGCCCCTTTTCTGACCAGTGAAACTGCATCTGCGGCTCTGGGACCGCACCTGCGGTCCCGCTTCTGCGAAACTCAAGTCGCATATGTGACGTTTCATTAAAGATCGATTTTCTCACCTGCGGCTTCTTTACCGCACCTGCGGTTTTCTGGAGCCTGGCCAAAACTCGCTTCTGCGGTCTCTCAGCCACATCTGTGGTGCCGCACCTGCGGTCCCATTCACGCAGGTGCTCTGATACCAACTTGTCACGATCCTAAACCCAGACCCGGTCGTGATGGCGCCTCTCGTGAAGACAAGGCCAGCCGACACATTTCTAATTCGAAGTCAAACAGCTAAACAGCAATACAATAGGCTAAAACATGATTTAATAATGCTAAACAGCGGATAATATCATAACAAGGCGGAAGTACAACCCAAACACAGCCCAAATCGGGGTGTCACTAGTCATGAGCATCTACAAAGTCTAAATACAACTGACAAAGTCTGAAATATACTCAGTACAGTCTAATAAAATAAAGAGAGAGAAAGCAGTGCTGCGAACGCCGGCAGCTACCTTGCTAACTCCACTGACAACTGCCACCAAGCTCAGAAAATACCTGAGTCTGCACACAAGGTGCAGGGAGTAAAATGAGTACTGCCAACTCAGTGAGTAATAATCATAAATAAAGACTGAGTGATAAGAAATCACGAAAAGAGCATCAACATGCTGTATAGAAGCAGTTTCAAAAACCAGTAAGAAAGCAATGAATTTGTAAAATCCTTTAAAACATCTTAGCTCAGTTTAAACTCTTTTGAAAAGGACTTTTTCAACAATTACGCAAATGAATGCAGAACGACTAGTGCAGATAGGCACAGAAATCCGCCCCTCGGGAACAAATATACAATCCTTTTTCGTAGCTTAAAACTTCAATTTAAATGAAAGATTATTTAAAACATTTTTTCAACATTTTCAATAGAGGCTCGGTCTAAAGATGAGTGAAAACAGTAATCAAATCACCATGTTCAATGGAAACTCACTTTAAAGAGGAGTGAAAACAGTAAATTCATAACTAGCCCCTCAGGCCAACATCACTCCTGTACATGTATATATCTATATATATAGCCCCTCGGGCAAGCCTCTTAGTCATTCGTGACTCAACTCTTACCAATCAGCGCTCACACTCAATAGGTACCATATTGTAACCGCTGCGGCGTGCAGCCCGATCCATATATATATATATATATATATATATATATATATATTTTGTTGCGGCGTGCAGCCCGATCCGTACGTATATAATCCTCACAACCAGGCCCTCGGCCTCTCTCAGTCATTAACCCTACAATCAGACCCTCGGTCTATCTCAGTCATCAACCTCACGATCACTCGGACCATCAGTAAAACAGGGAACTTAGCCCAAACGGTTTTCACATTTTAAGAAGTAAAGTGATAAAATAGATTTAAACAATAAACAGGTAAAACATGACTGAGGATGTGTTTTCAAACAAATAGAGTGAGGAAGATTAGTAAAAAAAATGCCCCTAAGAGTCTCAACAGGTCGGCACAAGGCCTCAAACATGGCATACAGCCCAAAGTATAATATCAATCTCTAAAAAAATATGGATATCATAAGATTTCAAATCAAATACACGACTTAACAGTCGTACGGGACGGACCCAGTCACAATCCCCAATAGTGCACGACCCCACGCTCGTCATCAAGCATGTGCCTCACCTCAATATAGCACTACGATGTGCAATCCAGGGTTTCAAACCCTCAGAACATCATTTACAACCATTACTCACCTCGAACCGGCTAAATCTCTAGCTCGTGATGCCTTTGCCCCTCGAATCGGCCTCCACGTGCCTCGAATCTATCCAAAACCAGAATGAGGACGTCAAAATATGCCACGGGAACGAAGCCCAAGCGAAAATAATTAATAACAGGCACTAATCCC